TAACATGACTGACGCTGGTGAAAAACCTGTCGAAGTATATAAATCTGTGTGGAGGAACTGCTTAAGTATACAAAATTACTAGTGCACCAACATCCTGCTCTTACTCAGCAAAAGCTGTACTTGCATCCAAATAAATACTGAAATCAAGCATCAGTCTTCCAGCTGTTAAAAGCCAAACAGAGCAAGATTCATTTCTTACAACCTGCATCTGTCAGTAACATAATATACTCATTATATAAAAGTTACTCATCTATTTAGTAACTATTAGACACTCTATCCATTTTCTGACAAGCTTACAAGACTTTGAAGGCTGTACTTTCCACAAAAGGTATGTCCTCTAGGGAAGTGGGATGGTCATAGGGAACAAAATTCAATTGGCTTCGCCACGTTGCGAATCCTAACGTCTTCAGAATGTCACCTATGACTACTTATCGTATATTTAGTCACCAGAACAGATACAACTGGGGAAAGAAAAAAATCCATGTATGAAAGCATACCAAACATTTTATCAGCGGAGGTATTAACGGCTCGCCCAGTTTTTCTCAAGTAGTAGTTATTGAAGCATTTGGCTCCTAGTCTATAAAATTATGGCCAAGGAAGTTTCCAAAGTACTTCATTGGAGTCTGTACAGTCGAATAGATTGATTATCTATCAATATCTTTCATTTATTTTACAGATATGCCCTTTGCCTCCATATCCTAGCCCTTTTCTCTCTTCAATTGGCGTAATACATGGTAAAGTTACTTTTACGGAGAATTGAGCACTACTGGTACTCCCTGATGGCTCTGCAGGCTCAGATCTAGCCAAATCAATGGATTGCTGGCATAAAATAACTGCATTTCATACTATTTCCTTCTTTTGATCTAAATGGTGCAGAAAGTAGCTTTCGTTTGGATTTTTTTTTAATATCTGAGTCATTTTCATCACCTAATAAGCATAAGATAATGTTTTCTGATAATTAAACTGCTACATCAAAGAGTTAAATTAAAAAATGACTACTATTTGAATTAAATATCCAAAAAAACAATACGCACGAGCGTGCCGTTTTTTCCGTTTAAAAATGAATTTAAACCGAACTGCTACGATAGTGCGCATTAAATTTAAGTTAGTTTTAAGTAAGCAATACTATAAATTATTTTAATGGTTTTTCATTTATTTATTAGAATACAATATTTACTTTATAATTTATAACATTTTAACAACAATACTAGCAAAATACTATTTTTTTATATACGTACCTCTCCGGGAGTTCGCGCCTAAAAATTCTGACATCTTTCACAATCGCTGTCCGGCGACCAACTGCCCGCAAGAGGGTCCTATATTTTTTATTAAAAGTATCATAATACGCACGATCGCCGTGTATCGATTTCGTTCCGAAAAACAAAATTTTGCCAAGCAAATTTTTATTTTAAGTCAATGCGCACGCTTATTTAAGTAAGGTCTGAAAGGGATAAGTTGACACTTCACCAGGCAGCTGGTGCCATCGAGTGCATTTGATTAGCGGCCGATGGGATATTAATGGTGACGGATGGACGGACAGCGCGATTATAGGATTACATGGACTTGCCGCTCTGGTGCACAGCCAAATTAAACATTCTGTGGACCCTAGTAGACTAATATGTTAGGTAATACGAATACATCATCATTATCATCATCATCAGTATTTTAGTCTCTATTTTTTCGAATTTACTAAAGGCAAAAGAATTTGGCCTACACTCCTACACTAGCCTAACTACGAGTAGGAGTCTTTAATATTATTATAAGCTCACATTAATGTCCGCAAAAGCTGGATTAAGCTTTTTATTTAATTAAATACATTCCAACCGAATTGAGAACCTCCTTCTTTTTGAAGTCGTTTAAAAAAGTGTTTTTATATCTGTTTCATTTTTTTTAACTCTCCTTAGTTCCAGTAATTTAAAGTCTGAGCAGAATTTAAAAAGGGCATTTTTATGGTTTAATCTTTTATTTGGGTTTGCTTTTGTCGTCGTCCTAAGTAGCCAAATGAAATCCTAACAATATGTACAATAGAGCTCAGTATTATCAAAACTTGGCAATAAGTTACTCGTTAGGCTCTATACAAAAACATACGCGGTATAACGATAACACTTTAGGATCTATAGCGCCTTACTCTACCAGCAACTTTTGTTCCAATATTTTGTTTTGTCTAATACACTGCCGGCCACCGAAACATCCATCTAGCTAACGGCCCAAAGGTGTGGGCCTCCTAATTTATGGCCTGCCCGAATATAATAATGTTGTACTATTATTTTTACTTATAAATAGTCGTACAGGGTGTAAGCTGCCCGCCCTTCGGTTCTGCACGAACGAATCCTATAACAAGTTTGTTGTATTGATTCATTTAGTAACTATGACTACTTTTTGTCTATAGTTTTAGTAACTTCCAATTTATGCAATAACACCAGGTCTTTTAAAGTAATGTGTGTTAATACAACTACAAATTTTCTTTCACATTGAAAGAGTGACATTAAAAAAGAAAAAGAAATTGGTAGAAAGTCTTGAAAAGTTATTAAAAATAATATTTTAAGCCAGTTCGTATGCTAAACTATTTAAAATGCCAGATCTGGGTCTCTTACCCTATAAAAGGTCGACAAAATGTCATTAAAATTGTCAATTGCACTCTGAAACAATGTTTCTAAATATTATGCTCTAAAAGTGTGTCAAGGATATTTTCTTTTTTTCTCAATTGGTTTTCCCGATGCCAGATCTCTTGTCTAATGTCTATGCTTGTGTACAATCACTAGGGATATACCCGGGCCCGCTGATTGAGTTGTAACCCGACCGGCGGACGGCGGGCAGTCGCACAACAATTGCCTTGATGAGACAATTGGCGGCCACCGCGCCACTGGTCGCACCATTACCGCGTGCACTGCGGGACAGAGATACTGCACCTTGTTAGTTGCACTTGGAGATTTTTTAATCGTTGTTGCTTTTGCCACAAAGATTTTGAAGACTGATTCTTTTTGTTTTTCTGAGATAAGCTTTAATCTGCATACTTAGCCACGTAAAGAAATCAAGCTATCATAACACTAGTATTACTATTGATCATTTTCAGTAAAATTTTAGCTTTCCGTTTTCGAGAAACACATCTGGCATTGGATATTATATTTTTACACGCAATTACTTGTTAATATTTTCAGTTTTCTGGCTTGCTTTTTGACTGTTTGATTTTTAATGACATAAAAACAAAATATTTTAAAATAACGCTACTGTCCTGTAGTCTATAAAATCTGCCAGCACTATCCGCCAAGGTTATCATTGACCAATTAGATAACGCGCGGTTGTTTTGTCCCGCAGTACACAGCCGGCCGTTATCAGGACGTCCCGCCGGAACCGCGTATCGCTTCCAACCTGGATTCGTGTCATGTGCACTAACAGTGCACGCGGTCACACGTATGGACTATACGCCAATTTAATTTTGCAATGGTTAGTAGGACATTGGATAGGAAACCCAAATTACAACCATTACTGGACAAAGGCCTTCCCCAAGGATTTCCACAACGACTGGTTAACCAGATCTTCGGTCAACCTAATGAGAAGCCTGAACAGGTTTATCAATAAAAAAAACACTTGATATTTTATCAATTTAAAAAGATCACGCTTTAATTGTGACAAACTTATCTAATTTTCATAGAGCACAAAAAATTGGCGACGAACTTCCGCTTGCTATCTGTCTCAATAAGTTAACGAGGCACTTTCTAATAAGAATCTGCAGTCACAATTTTGTAATCTATTCGGCAATGACCTAACTCAAATTTCTTGACCATTTTTTCTTTTTGTTTTACTTTTAATCACATATATTTATTCCCTTACTTAAAATAGCTACACACGTATTGAACGTAATGTTAACCCCTATTTTAGAAATGACACAAAATATGTCCAGAAAATGTCCAAACTCAACTGGAAACAAGTCAACAGAATTGAATTCTATAGCCTATAGAGCTAACTCTACATGATTACAATATCTGGCCAAAAACTAAAGCTCGTAAACGCAGTTGTAGTAAAACTGTGAACATTTCCAGAATAAACTAGGAATATTGGAAAAAGATAAAGTTATTTACCATGTAACTTTATTGTACTGGCCCGTACGACGCAGGCCAGACCAAATTGAGACGTTTACTCGTATTGACAATAAAATGGCGGCGCCGCAGTGAAATTTGTCCCGTTACGCGGCTGTACAGACGAGCGTTTTATTAGGCAGGTGAAATTAAAGTTACTTTTTAAAAAACTTTTTTGATAAAATTGACATATTAAGAAAAACACAAAAAAGTTAGCCGCTAATTGCGGTTGCGGGAAGGCGCTGGATGCAGGCGGCCACCAACTAACCATTGTGGAAATCATTGGGGGAGGCCTTTGTTCAGCAGTGGACGTCCTATGGATGATGATGAATAAAGTTAATTTTTTTTTATTAAAATTCACAAATTATGCTGACCAACATTTTCAATATGTAGGTAACAGTTTGAATGCGTTTTCTTTGTTTTTTCTTTCGGGATTTTTGTCGTATGGATTTTATTAACAACTAATGCTCTAATTTCTGCTTTCATAGGTAAGTAAAGTAGGTACATAAACATTGATAATGACGTAAAATGTGTTGATAGTCACGATGAACGTCAGCTTTTTAATGAGCAGCCTATTTAATTAAATTTATCCATAAAATACTTTTAGCTTTTGCTGTTGCTCCGTCTACAATCACTAGATTTAGTTTTGTCCATTTATCATAAACTCAAAACTTTAATAATCGACCTGTATTATCAAACTTATAAGTAATGTATTTTTACGCTATATAGAAATTACATTAATTTTAATTTGCTGTAATCTCTCAAATAATGAACTAATCAAATCATAGATCATTGGAAAAAATGAACATTTAAACAAACTGATACCATAGAAATATGTATGAGTCAACATGCACAACCTCATTAAAAATGGTCGAATCATAACAATATCCTGATAAGAATATTGTAAAGTTGATTATTTGGAATATTGTGACAGTGTGGGATACTAGTTTGTGTTTATTTAAAATGTTTCGTTACACTTTATTCGTGGTAAGGCATAATTATTATTATTAGGTGTAGTATAATGATTTATTTCCTTTTAAATTTCTTTTAACTTAAATTACATAACAAATGGTATGCTGTGTGAAAAAAATAAAATTTATTTATTTGGTTTTGTTTGCAATTTTATCCAACGTTTACTCTGTGAGACTAAATTTTGTTTGTATTTTGTTCACAGATGATTATCAAAATTGTTATAGCTGCTTCAAATGAAACTGCTTCAGTACGATTAGAGCCCCTTACAAAATATAAGTAAGTATTTCAAAAAATAATGTTGAAACTGTGTATTTAGCGTCAGTTAACACTACATAGTATAAAACAAAGTCACTTCGCTGTCTGTCTGTCCCTATTGCCTTGATCATACGTACCGAGCAAACGGGCGAGACAGTGCTCTCGGCCGAGTATTCGGTGTGTATGAACCTCAGATCATAGAAAGAGAATAGATATGAAGTCGCGCGTAACTACAACGAGAACCAGTGTCCCCACATTTCCCCCACCACAGCTCCCACACACACATTCAACTGTGTAAAAACAAAGCGACTGAGAGTCTACTACAACATGTGCAACCGGCTTAAAAGTGCTGTGATTGGCCAGAAGGCGTGCCTTATGGCCAATCAATNGGTATGAACATAACGCCGAGTGCTCGTCCGAACGCTCGAGTATGTGACTCGCTCACCCAACTGTCTCGATCGAGTAAACATTTTACTGTCTCGCCCGTTTACTTGGTACGTGTGATCAAGGCTTTAAGCCTTGATCATACGTACCGAGAGGGCAGTGCTCTCGTAGTAGTACATGTATGAAAATACGCACTGAGTACTCGGCCGAGAGCACTGTCTCGCCCGTTTGCTCGGTACGTGTGATCAAGGCTTAAGTATGCTTAAATCTTTAAGACTACGCAACAGATTTAGATGCGGTTTTTTTCAATAGATAAAGTGATCTTAGAGGAAGGTTATTAAGTATTATACATTGTACCTGTGTTTATTATACATTACTAGCTTTCCGCCCGCGGCTTCGCCCGCGTGGAATTTTGTCTGTCACAGAAAAACTTTATCGCGCGCGTCCCTGTTTCAAAAACCGGGATAAAAACTATCCTATGTTCTTTCCCGGGACTCAAACTATCTCTATGCCAAATTTCATCAAAATCGGTTGCGAGGTTTAAGCGGGAAAGCGTAACAGACAGACAGACAGACAGACAGACAGACAGACAGAGTTACTTTCGCATTTATAATATTAGTTGGGATAGTTGGGATTATACAAAGCGGTGAATTTTAGGATATCCATAAAAATACGTTATCTATTTAGTAAATGTTTATTACTACTTATTACTGAGCTAATCTAAATTATTTTTCAGGATTGTTGAATTAACGGAAATGGCAGAATTGTGTGGCCATTTGGAGTAAGTCACTTAAATGTTTTTTGTATTTAAATGTTTATTAATACTTAAACCATCGTTAATACCTCAAACGAGATTCTTAAAAATATCCTTTTTCAGGCTATCAGAATCCGAAGATGAAAAATTAAAGGTAGGTATGAACCTAAAACTGTTAATAATAGTATCATTATTTATTCTTGGTTGATAACCTATAAATTTTGATATACGAGTATATCCTATCTTACAGAAAACGGCCCTTTGTAATCTTGAAACGAAATCAATAGATGGGTATGTATTTTCTATTTGAATCAACTTATTTTTTTTACAATATCAATGATCGAAGAGTTCGATAAGTACATACCTTTTAGGTATACTTTTATTATTCTTTCCACTACATTTGTGTTTTACTACTAAGCTAAATCTTAGTCGAATTTGGAGGCAGAAAATTCTATTAAAGTTTAAAATATATTAATGCAAAAATCTGAATAACTTAGGCTTTTATTTTCAGGAAAATGTACATCAGTGCTTCCAGTGTCTGCAAATGTGTTGGGTATGTTTATATTAATATTAATTAATTTATATGTTTGTTTAACAACAATAATATTTTATGTTTGACTCTTACTATTTACAGGTTTGAAACTAATCTTATAAACAAAACAAAGCTGACGCACGATGAAAGAAATCACACAGATTATACAGATACTCCTCTTAGTACTACAGTTTCAAGATCAGATGTTAATACTAGTAGTACTAGTGTAAACGACACTGTACTATCAAGTGAAATAAGTACTAATATCGATTCAACAACAGATTTTACATTTGAAACTCCATATCCGATCACAATAAGCGAAGTGATGACTTTGCATGATACCACATGGAATACAACCAACCCTACGGATTACACCGAAGAATTGAGTGACAAAACTCCATATGAAGAAACTGATGTATGGTTGATAGACTTAATTTTAATATTTAATACTACGACAACAGATTCAATGTTTGCGACTACCTATCAAAATAAAACAAGCGAGGTGGCTGATGTGACATTGAATACAACCATTGACACTATTAATTATACTGAAATATTGACTGATAAAACTCCACATGATGAAACTGACCTGAAAGAGGTGATTTTGACTACTTACCGAAATAATAAAACAAGCGAAGCTTTTGATGTGGATAATACAACAATAAATACAACCAAGAGCACTATTGATTACACTGATGAATTAAACTATACAACTTTGCATAATAAGATGGGTTTATTTTCAAAACGGGAAATTTTGACAACTATTGCTACGATAACAGATACGACAGTTGAGACAGCACATGAAAATAAAACAAGCAAACTGATTGCTTTAGATTATACGACGCTAAATACAACCAACAACACTTTTGATAAACCCAATGATACAACTTCACACAGTCGAACTGATCTTTTGTCGAAAGAGGAAATTTTAACAACTATTGCTGCATTAACAGATACGATAGTTGAGACTACGTCATATGAAAATAAAACAAGCAAACTTATTGCTTTGGATAATAACGACACTGTTATTTATGGTGATGAATTAAGTGATAAAACATTGCTTGATGAAATTGACACATGGACAAAAGAGGAAACTTTAAAAACTAATGCCGCCATATCAAATACGACAATTAAGACTATATCGCTCCCCGATGATGAATTAAGTTATACAGATGATATGGAATTAGCTAAGGATATATTAGAACAATATCATGCCATGAAAAACGCATCTACTGATATTTTTACAAAAGACTCAGAAGAAAGTTATCACAGTTCTTTTAAATCCTTCGATTATAATAATTACGATAGTGATTATGGTGATAATAGTGATTTTTTTAAAAAAACAGAGAGTGTTACGAACTATGAAAAAAACACAGAATGGTGGAATAAATATAGTTCAAAACAACCATACAAAATATCTAAATCTTCACCAGATACAAATAATGATAGTGAAGAGTCTCATACAACTCTTACAAGTTTTGCCAAGAATAATGATGATGAAATTAGTACAAAGATAATTAAAGAATGGAAAGATGGTTCAGGAGACGGATCCAATTTAGTTGATGATGATGATTTTAATGAACGTACGAGTGATTCAAAAACTGATACCTTGTAAGTTTTATTACGTATGTTCACTTTATTAACTAACGTGGATTTATGTATAATCCGTTATTATTAAAAACATTATTGGTTTCAGAAATACTCCGACGGACACAACATTATCACAAAAGAACAGTAATATCAGGTACGGTGAACGTACGAGTGATTCAATAACTGATGGTACCTTGTAAGTTTTATTACGTATGTTCACTTTAACCACCAACGTGAATATTATGTATATTCCTCTATTGCTAAAAACATTTTGTTTCAGAAATACTCCGACGGAAGCAACATTATCACAAAACAACAATAATATTCGGTACGGCATTATTGCGCTCCTTGTCTTTCTTTTGGGTGGGATAGCTTTAGTTGTCCACTTGTGGTGTGTTAAAAGAGGTTCATACAGTAAGTATTATTATTATCAGTTTCTTTAATAATTTATATTGAACTTTAAGAATTTTTAATAAGTACACAATTTTCCTTCTAGATTTAAATGCGGCTAATAGTAGTAATATAGAAATGGCTTCAAAGTAAGGAACTATGACATCTTTCTAGGAATAAAGCCATATTGGAAAACTTTGAACAACTTAATTTGTGACGAATTACATTTATTTATTTTTTATTTTATTATTGTGAGGTGGTCTTATTATTAAATGGTCTATAAAAACGCTCGTCTGCCCGCCCTGAGTTTGACCATGATTCGCACGGGCGCTGTCGCCCACTCGGTGGCGCGGTGATTTATTGCAAATGGCGTGAAAGCGAAAACGCCCGTAAAACGCGGCGTTTACTGCGCGTTCGATTGCTTCATGTGTAAATGCCTTTACGCATCGTTGTGATTGCCTTTGATTGTGTATTTTGTAAACATCGATGATTTGATTTTTATAGCTTTGAATAGGAAAGCGACTGAAATTATAAGTTTGATAATGTCTAAGATTTTTATTTTGCGAATATACAAACCCATTAATTTTATAAACTTTTATTTTCTTAAATTTTGTGTCCTTTATATTCATTTTCCCTGCCGTTTTTTTATTTTTATTCATTGTTCTTAAAAAAATACTATTCCAACAGAAAACACTTTACCAATAAGCATGTTTTGTGCGAAACTTAAATTAATACGTACACAATTTAAAAAAAACTTTTTTTATCCCTCTGGTACCTTAATCACATGGCTTATCCAAGAAGATTAGTTTAAAAAAACATGGTAAGTTTTACAAAATTTAAGTGGCAACATCAGAGGGCCTAGTGTGAGTTTACATCTAACGCACTCACTAGTGAGCGCGTTAAAAAATGTATGAAAATTTTAGTTCTTCAAAGTTTCCGCTAGGGGCGCTGTATACAGGGTGTTAGGTAAATGGGTATATGAGCCGACACTAGCCCATGTTAACATGGGCATATAAATGGTATGGTGAAGTCAGAAATTTGATATCATCATTTTATTTTTTTAAATTTTCATACAAAATACATTTTATAAAATCCGATTTGTATGAAAATTTAAATTATTAAAATGAAGATATCAATTTTCTGACTTCACCATAACATNGCATATAAATGGTATGGTGAAGTCAGAAATTTGATATCATCATTTTATTTTTTTAAATTTTCATACAAAATACATTTTATAAAATCCGATTTGTATGAAAATTTAAATTATTAAAATGAAGATATCAATTTTCTGACTTCACCATAACATTTATATGCCCATGTTAACATGGGCTAGTGTCGGGTCATATACCCATTTACCTAACACCCTGTATATGTCAACGTGAAATTGTGAACTCTGTCAGTTTATAATATAACGCGTTAGATTGTAAACTAACAGTGGGTTAGGTTAGGTTAGATTGTAATTTAACTACGTCAGATTATAATCTGACGGATATCACAATTTTACGGTGACATATACAATCCGTCATACATTTAATGTCATTTTTTGAAGCGCGTTTTAATGTAAACTCACACTCAGCTCTCTGACCGACTCCGGGTCCAAATCGTGCCCAGTGATCGGACGCGCTCACGGAGCCTTATTTATAGCCGGGCCTGGAACTGGGGGCTTCTGGAATTGTACTTCATTAGTATTGTTTGTTGATAGTCATTTCGCATTGAGAACTGCACGAATCGCTGCACTTAGATACCACTTCTAAGCACAGTCAGTTTAGACTGTAGATTTCAAACAATTCAGGATGGACTAAATAATCTAAACGAATCAATTTAGTAAATTAACTGTTCTAGCATTTTCAACGAACTTAAACACCGGTACCTAATATTATCAGACAGCAGAAATAGTAAATAAATATTATGGTATATAAATATGTATAAACTTAAAAAAGACAGGGCTCTATCTGCCCGATAGTAATTATAAAGAAACCGGAAACTGAACGGAAGGTGTGACTTTGGTCAAATACCTGCCCTGTCCTGCATAAAAAATACTTTTGTCAATCCTTGGGGTAGGTTTATTTCCAGCAGTATAAGAGCGCTTTCACATTTAGGCGACTTAAGCAGTGCGACAAACGCGCGACAGACGCGCTGCCGATAATTTCATACTTTAATATGACAGCGGATGCATGCCTTCACATTATAAAAACGCCACTGCCGCGCTTCTGTCGCGCTTCTAACACCCTAATGTGAAAGCACTCTCATGCCCGTTTTCACCATCAATCCCTAATTTTTAAGTGACCCCTATGGTAACACAAAACAGGAATTTTGTTTTCATATGGGTCACTTAAAAATTAGGGATTGATGGTGAAAACGGGCATAATTGTTAGTACTTGTATGGTGCCTGGATGCGGGCGGACCGGTAGTTGTAGAAGTCCTTGGAGGAGGCCTTTGTCCAGCAGTGGACGTCATTCGGCTGAAACGAAGACGACTTGTCTGGTATGTGTCTCTCTAAACATTTTTTTTTTTTTTTTTTTTTTAAACATTAAGAGAACACAATTTTTATTAAGTTCATTTATGAAGCCTTCTCGAATCAGAATCGAGAATGTTACATAGTCTAGGTCACGCGGTCCGCAGCCCGTGGGAGTGATCCTCAGTCGGACGTCACGACGAGGTCCACACGCGAGCAACCTGGGAACTCGAATAGCCCATATAGGTAGGCTCAATGTGGGAACTTGAGTAGCTCATATTATATGAGTATATGAGTCATATAGGCTCATGTGGGAACTCGCGAGAAGCTTAGGCTTAAGAGCATAACACAGTTCATAGTCGGCCGTTTGGTGTAGTGGTTCAGAACGGACTACTATGCCGAGAGGTCCCGGGTTCGATTCCCGGCCGGGCAGAAATTGAAATGATGAATTTTAATTTCTGTGACGGGTCTGGGTNTAATATGTATGTATTTAAAAAAAAAGTATATAAGTAGTATATCCGTTAAGCTAGCACCCATAACACAAGCATTAAGTTGCTTACTATAGGGCTAGCTGGCGCTGTGTGAAATTGTCCAAAGATTTATTTATTTATTTATTTATTTAATCGTCAACGACAGTAGGGAGCTGATCGGACTTAGTTTAGATGCGCCAAAACCTGGTGAATCATGTCACCGTAATTTATCTATTTTGTAGAAGATATTTTTTAAATCTATCAGTGGACTGATTTAAGGTAGACAGGTACTTTATGGTGATGATAATGATTTTGATTCAAGGCTAGCTGTAAAGTAGTGAAATTGTAAAAATTTGCAATTGGGGCTTCTAAATTGCCACAAATGTGTCTAAAAGCTTCTTTAAGAAAAGCTCAATTCATTAATCTACTATATAAAAATAAGTCGAGTTTTCCTCCCTGACGCTATAACTCCAGAACGCACGAACCGATTTCCACGGTTTTGCAGTCGTTGGAAAGGTCTCGGGCTTCGTGAGGTTTATAGCAAAGAAAATTCGGGAAAAGGGGGTAAAACGGGATCCACGCGTACGAAGTCGCGGGCGGCCGCTAGTCAATCATATTTTAAGTAAGGTTTTTATCAACACTTCTGTAATCTAAAAACAATCAGTTCCAAGAAATTCATCAAATCAAATCATTTATTGCTTTGCATTACATCACATTAATCACAGAGTATAATATTGCCAAATTTTGAACTCTAAACAACCTTGTCAGTTTTCACAACCACCCAAAAGTCTCACCGCAAGAGTCCTTGCTCCAAATCGGGCTAGGGCCAAGCGGGGCGTCGCTGGCGTGCGTCTGCGCACCGGTCGATCACGCGCCGCCCCGCCCCGCCCCGGCGACAAAACATGCGCGCGTCATGCGAGATGTGACAAGTATTGACCGATACGCAATAAGGCACCAAGTATAAACGTTTACTAAAAGGCAACTTCTAAAGTTAAGGTTCGGCCAAACCAACGCGATCACACGCGATCAGCCGACCTAAAGGTTCGGCCAAACCAACGCGATCAACCGGCGTGCAGAGATGGCGATCAATGCATTAAGGTCTGGTCGCCATCGCTGCACGCCGGCTGATCGCGGTGTGATCGCGTTGGTTTGTCCGAACCCTAAATACATTGATCGCCATCGCTGTACGCCGGTTGATCGCGTGTGATCGCGTTGGTTTGGCCGAACCTTTAGACACTAATAATACTGATAGTTCGTTTCAGCCGAAAGACGTCCACTGCTGGACAAAGGCCTCCAGTTAGTGATAGTGTCTGCTTATGATTTTGTAAAGAAATTACAAATTGTGTGAACTTACCTGGTGTTCTAGAGATGCAACTCAGGTAGACCCAGGTAGGCTCCCACCGCCCCCGTTGTAGTGACCACGCCAACAACGCCACCATGACTTGCACGCAATTTAATCAATATCCATTTGAAATAAAACTATTTTTTTGTTTCAAAATCAAAATCAAAATCAAAAACAACCGCACGATGAAAAGAAAAAAGCTGCGACTCCGCGAATCGGAAACGAAACCGACCATATTGACAGGTTCAAACTGCCCAACTGCCAGTGTTGCCACTTTGTACAAATGTTACTGTTTAGAAATAAGTATTTTAAAAGTTTGATGAACTACAATAATTACGACAAAATAACTAATTCTAAAAATATTTAATGGATTTCTAAAACAAACAGTGAAACTTAAATAAAAGAAGTGGATCTACTAGAAATTCATTCACATCCATAAGTATAAAGTGATGTTATTTTCGCTACACCAAAATCAGCATTTTAACTGGATCAGTGTTAGAATGTTGTTGTTATATTTTAGTATGACGAATGGAAGAGTAGATATACACCTGTTGCATTTCAAACTGCTATCGGTGCTATCGGTAATCAATGGTCACTTCAATAAAAAACCTGATCTCAAATCACGCACAATTGAGAATGTTACTAGGTATGCAAAATCACTTGAAACCTATGTTACAGTTAAGCTTTTACATTTACAAATACATTAGTTTTTATTTCATTCAAAAATACCCAGTAGTTATGATTTTATAGGCATTCAAAGTTCGCTTAAATATTGAGTCCCGCCGACGGTCACGTGACCCCGTGTGACGTACATTCACAGCGTCCGCTCACTAGAAAACGGATATAAACATACTTAAATATTATTTTTTTTGTAAATACAAACTTATTATACATATTAACACCCAGACCCATCACAGAAATTAAAATTGAACCAAACCCAAACTTGATGCGATTGTGTCGTTTTATTGCGAATTACCTTCCAGCTCCATCATTAGACCCCGATTACTATATAGAATTAAAATACTCATCAATACAAAACGAACGAGCCCAAACTCGATGCATTTAAGTCGTTTTATTATAGAGTTCCTATGGCCACCTTCCAGCTCCATCATCAGATCAGCTCCATGTCATCATAATATTGCATGGTCATCCAAATCACATGTGTTTGCGAAATTTCAGCTTAATCGGTTGCCTGGAAGTGGGTCTTAATTCAGTTTGCAAGATTCCACCCATACAAATATGAGCCAGTCGT